GAGCCTGCATATAGAAGTCATAGTCACGTGGCTCCTTTGATTACCAGTAATTGTGGATGTGAAACTTCATGAGGTGTAGACTGTATACCTCTGGTGGAGCATATCTTGCATTTTCCATGTGGGGATCACTCTGGCTGTTAATGCTTCTTCATTAAGGTAGCATAGTGCCTTGACGATTGGTGCTGTTAGTCACTGAATGGGCACTGGTGGGTTTTTAGCCCATTTTCTGATTGTTTCCCAAGTCAAGTATGAGGTATATTGCTTCTCCATTGCAAAGTGGTCACTAGGCCATATTTTATTTATTTATTATTTGCATTTATATCCCGCCCATCCCGTGGGTGGGCTCAGGGCAGGTAACATCATTAGAATAAATACAATTTCAGTTTAAAACATTAAACAGTAAAACACAATAAAACATAACAATTAAAACAATGGGTACAGCTTGGAACAGCGACAGTTCACTATAAAGTTCTGGCCAGATGGTACAATGAGTTAAAGAACAGCTGTTGGTTAGTAGACAGGTGACAGACAAATGACAATCTCAGGGAGGCCATAAATGGGTGCCTGCCACCTCAGCCAAAGGCCTGGCAGAACAACTCCATCTTGCAGGGCCCTGGTCTGAATAGGGAGCATGTTCCACCAGCCTGGGGCCAGGACAGAGAAAGCCCTATTATGCCACTGCTTCCATGAAAAATATGAAGCAATTTATTTACTGTCAGAAACTGCATGAGATACAGAAGTTATTGTCCTAGTCCAGTTGTCTTTGCGGGAAAGTAAGCAATGTGATATTTCTGTTGGTGTTTCATGGCTGCTCTATATGCATACAAATTACAATGCTTTGAATGTGGCAATAGGCCATCACTACCAGGTATAACAGGGCAGGTGAGTCACATCAACTTATCTGCAGCGCTTTTCAATGGAGGTAATCCATTTAGCTGTCTGTTGTCAAGTGTAGAGAAATCCAGGGATGGCCTCTTCCTCCATTTCTTATAAAGTTGTAAATTTTTTGGTCTGTTTGAACAGAGCCTGTCTTCCTATATATTCACTACAGCACCAGTTGAGCATGTTGTATGTAGTGAATATTTTGATGCTACTCTGGTGACATCCAGGCTTGATTACATCAATTGGTTATACATGAGGCTGCCTTTGAAGATGGGCAGAAACATCAGCTGGTCCAGAATATGACTTGGACTGGCTGTCTTGAATATATTTTCCCAGTGCCAAAACTTTGCAGGTTGCCAGTTTGTTTCCAAGCACAATTCAAGGGGCTTACTTTGACTTGTAAAGCTTAAATGATCTGGGACCAAAGTATCTTAAGAACCACTTCCACATGAACCTGCCCATCACTTAAAACTTGCTTCAAAAGTCCTTTGCCAAATGCCTTCTGCATTCACAAGGTAAATGGGTAGTGATTAGAAAGAAGGCCTTTTCTGTGGTAGCACTCCAATTATTAAGCTCCTTTGAAAGACAGATATGCCTAGTGCTTGTTCTTGTTGTTCAGTTACACAGTCGAGTCCGACTCTTTGCGGCCCCATGGACCACATCATGCCAGGCCCACCTGCCTTCTATCGTGCTCCAAAGTTTGCTTCATTTTATCTTCATTGCATCGATAACTCTGTCTAACCATCTCATTCTCTGCCATCCCCTTCTTCTTTGACCTTCAATCTTTCCCAGCATCAGGGTCTTCTCCAGTGAGTGCTCCCTTCTCATTTGGTGGCCAAATTATTTCAGCTTCAGCTTCAGTATCTGGCCTTCCAGGGAACAGTCAGGATTGATTTCTTTTAGGATCAACTGCTTTGATCTCCTTGCAGTCCAAGGGACTCTCAAGAGTCTTCTCCAGCACCATAATTCAAAAGCATCTATTCTTCGGCACTCAGCCTTCCTTATAGTCCAACTCTCGCAGCCTTATATTACTATTGGGAATACCATTGCTTTGACCATACGGACTTTTGTGGGCAGAGCGATGTCTCTACTTTTTATTATGCTGTCTAGGTTTGCCATAGCCTTCCTCCCAAGGAGCAGGCGTCTTTTAATTTCATGGCTGCAGTCACCGCCTGCAGTGATCTTGGATCCCAGGAATGTGAAGTCTGTCCCTGCTTCCATGACTTCCCCTTCTATTTGCCAAGGAGTGATGGGGCCAGATGCCATGATCTTCATTTTTTTGATATTGAGTTTCAAGCCAACTTTTGTGCTCTCCTCTTTGACCTTCAGCAAGAGGCTCTTTAAGTCGCCTTCATGTTCTGCCATTAGAGTGTTATCATCTTTATATCTGAGGTTGTTGATGTTTTCCCCAGCAATCTTAATTCCGGCTTGTGATTCATCCAGGCTGGCATTTTGCATGATGAACTCTGCATATAAATTAAATAAGGAAGGGGACAATATACATAAGAACATAAGAGACGCCAATGTTGGATCAGGCCAAAGGCCCATCTAGTCCAACACTCTGTCACACAGTGGCCAAAAATACCAGGTGCCATCAGGAGGTCCACCAGTGGGGCCAGGACATTAGAAGCCCTCCCATTGTTGGCCCCCCAAGCACCAAGAAGACAGAGCATCACAAGTTAAATGAGTAGTTCTGAATCCTTGTTGTACTCCTTTTCCTATGCTAAACCAATCAGTTGTTCTATATCGGGTTCTAGCTGTCTCTTCTTGACCCTTATACAGGTTTCTCAAGAGACATGTGAGGGGGTCTGGTACTCCCATCTCTTTAAGGACTTGCCATAGTTTGTTGTGATCCACACAATCAAAGGCTTTAGCGTAGTCAATGAAGCAGATGTTTTTCTGGTACTCTCTTGCTTTCTTTATTCTTTTTATAGGCATCAAGTGAAGTCTGTCCTATTTACCTGTACTTTTAACATACAACTAAATTGAAAGTAACCAGTCCTTTGATTTATTTTTGTATATTTATTGCTGGATTTGTTTAAGGGCTTACATTTTGTAAGCTGCCTTGAATATTACTTTAGCAGAAAGTAAAACATTCCTAACAACAACAAAAAAGTAATCAAGAGTCATTGGATCAAAAAGTTACATTTTGTTTTTGAGAACCAAAGTGTTAAGGATAACTATTTTCACTAAAATTACAATAGAGGAAGTTTTTGATGTTACTTAAATGAAGTCTACACAGATCATTCACTGCTTTGTGTGTTATGATTAAATGTTCTTCCTTGCATCTCAAGGCTTGAAATTATTTTTACGTTTTTGTACTTTGAGAGGACTTTAAGTTGATATGTAAAGGCATAAAACTGTTAATTATAGTTCCATTGTAGTAAGACGTAACATGCATAGTGGTTAATGTTTTACTTATGAGCATGTCATGTTTGCCAGGGCAAAAGCTTTAAATCAATATGCTGACCCCCACC